ACGGGCACGGGTGCAGGTTCTGGATCGCCATCACAGCCAGGCCGTTGGCCATCTTGTCCGTGAAGCTCATGGCGCCGTAGACGAACGCACCGCTGTGCTGCGAGGGGAGAGGAAACCTCATCGGCCTCTGCGCCGAGGCCAGCCCCGCCACATAGCTCAGCGGGCGCCGGCAGCGAGAGCCTTGTGCCCTCTCATGGGCAGAGCCCATATTACAGCAGAGCCCGGGCACATGGGACAGGGCTGCCCGCACCCCTACAGCAGAGCCCCCTTGCAGGGGTCTCCATCCCCTCCGATCCCACACCAGCCCGCGGGCTCCAAGCCCCGCTGTGACACCCTGGTCCATCCCAGCCGGGAGGAGCAGATGTACCGTGTTGGTGCCGATGAGGTCTGCTGTCATGGAGAGGGAGGTGACCCGGATAGTGGCGGGGGAGGGAGGTGACCAGGATAGTGGCGGAGCCAGCCCCAAGCAGCGCGGCTGCCCCGTAGATCTCCGCTCCAATCTGCCTGGCCAGGGTCACCCAGGAGGCAAAGGCCAAGATCACCAGGATGCCCACGAAGTAGGTCAGCTGCTCCAGGCCAACGTGGGGACAAGCAGAGGGAGAAGGGAAAGCTCAGACCTCGGCTCGGCTGACACCCAGCAAGGCAGGGGTGAGTGGGGAGGGCACAGGGGCCAGCTGCTGCCTAGGACCCACGGGGGACAGCGCTGGCTCTCTCCCAGCTGGTTTTAAACAAGGAACCCCCAAACGGCAAAGGCCTTGCAGTGGTCCAGGCTGTTTCACAGCGTTGGCCGCAGCCTCAGTGCCAAGCCCCCAGCAGAGCTGTAGGCAGGGCGCCTGCGTAGGGCACGGGGACACCCAACCAGCAGGAAAGGTGGGGGCTTACTGGGGAATGGTGCTTGCTGCAGTGCGGAGACCTGGCCCTGCAGGCACTGCAGACCCCCGCACTCCATGCCTGCCCAGGGTCGCCCAGCCAAACCCTCCCTCTGCCTCTCATCGGCACTATGGGGCTCTCCCTGCCCGGTCAGGACTGCACAAGACAGGCTGACTCTGGACCAGCATCACTTTCCCCAACCTCAGAGATGTGCAGGATAGGCCCATGCCCCCTCACCCTGCTCACCACCCACACTGTCCCAGCGGGACCCACGCTGCAGCAGGGGTCATCTGCAGAGGATGCACGAGGGGTCCCTGCTCTCCAGCCAGGCTCAGGTTTGCTGAGTGCTCTGCTCCCTTGTGCAGTCAGGATCTGGCCCTGGACCTCTCCTTGGGTCTAACACAAACCTCACCAGGCCCCCAGGACTCACATTTCGACCTATCCACTTATTCACAGGCTTCATGAGGAAGGAGGAGAGGAAGCCACTGACGTACATCACCAGGGGGATGGTGGCGATGTATTTCTGCAAGAGACGAGGACACGGAGATGACATCTGGATCATCGGCACAGGACCCCTGCCCACACAACCTTGACATGTGGGCAGGAACCTGCCCTTGCACCCACCTTGGGCAGCAGCAGCGAGTTGGTCAGGTACATGGCGATGTAGGTCTGGGACAGGTTGACGATGAGCCGGGTGGACATGTAGAGCACTGCAACCTGTGAGGGGACAGAGACGGCAGCACCGCTCAGCCAGTGAAAGCTGGAGGTAGGGAAGGCTGGCACCTTCCATGCCCAACCCTCTCATGGCACAGATGCCCACTGAGAAGGGGACAGCCCTCCTGATGTGGTAGGCGGGTGCCCAGTACAGGCCATCTCTCCATCCCCACCCGCACCACGGGCACGTCCCACTGCCAGAGGATGCCCACGGCACCCAGGCAGGGCAGCAGCCCAGGACAGGCGCCACCAGCCCTGCCCGCAGCCGTACCTGGTAGAAGGCAGGCTCCAGCAGCCAGTCTTTCCAGATCAGCAGTGGGGGCGCGGGGCTCATAGGCTCCTTCTGCAGCAGGGGCGTGCTCTCCTCCAGCTGGGGCAGCGAGCCCGGTGGGTACGGCTTCTCTTTCCGGTGGGTAGGGCTTCTTTTTGGTGCCCAGGTGGAAGATGAGGGAGAACACGGCCCCCAGCCCCACCACAATGAGGGACAGGTTCTGGGTGAGGCAGAGGGGGTGAGCATAGCAGGGGATGCCCTTTGCCTGCCCATCATGCACCCCCCAGCAGTCTGGGGGCTAAAGGGGTTCCCAAAACCCCAGACAGAGCTCAGTGCAGCCCCTGCCCAGTGCAGTAGGTGAGATTTCAGGGCACTGCTATTTTGCTCCCTCCAGTACCTCCCCCTTGAGCCATGTCCCACCCAGGGAAGAGAGGACCCCAGGGACTGAGCCCTGCCACCTACCCGAAATATGGGGACATCCTGGATGCCTAGGTGCTCTGTGCGGTCAGGCTGGGCCACCTGGACGGGAGCCAGGCCAGGCCGTACACAGTGATATTGGCCATGACGGTAAAGGCATATCTAGGGGGAGACAGCACCTCAGGGTGATGCAGAGGGACAAGCACAGCTCCAGGCACGGCGGGGACACCTCGACCCAAGGCTGCCCTCCAAGCCAGGCATGCTAGAGCCAGCTTTGCACCCCCAGTGTCATTGCTGAGGTGACACCCCCAAGAGCACGCAGCATCTGGCGAGGCATTAGCCTTACTGGTGCACCTCCCAGCATGCCCAATCCAAGCCTCGGGGCACGACTGGGAGGAAACCAATATCTGTCTGGGTCAGCCTGTCCACCGTCCAGTCACAGCTCACCTCTGCCCCAAGGATCCCCCGAGCTGCCCCACCCGGTGCCCCCATACCCCGACCCCTTGGCCCCAGGGTTACCCCAGCACTGCCCCACATCCTCCCTGCCCGGCTGCGCTGCCGTCCCCGCTCTGCTGCCGGAAGGAGAACTTCCTCCCACTGGGGCAGATAACCAAGCCCTGCTCCGTCTGATAAACACTCCTTCCCACAGCCTGATCCTGTCAGATAAGCAGCACTGAGCTGGGCTCCAGTACCATGTGCTGCCCAGCCTGGCCCTGGGGCCATCCCTACCTATGGGACAGCCTGCACAGGGCTGTGCCCAGCTCTCCCTCAGGACATCCAGAGGGATCTATTCTTCCCTTGTGAGCATCACTCTCCAGTCCCGAAGAAGTGCACCCAGCTCAGGGAAGTGCCCCATGGGCTGTGCCACCAACATCCTTGGCATCAGGACATTCCCTCCTGGCACCAATGGGTTTGGGCCACCAACCCAGAAGACCAGCGTCACTTGGACACATCCTGCAGGACACCCACATGGCCCAGTCCTGGTCCTGCTGTACCGAGGGCTCAAGTGTGCCATGGCACCCAGGGGACGTCAGACCCGTGGCACCCAGGGGACCTCTCGTCACACAAGCGATGGGACCCGGCGCGGGCAGGGCTGCTCCCCTGGGTTCAGGGGACACCTAGGTCTGGCCGTGCTCACCTGAAAGCTGTGAGCTCCACCTTCTCATGGTCACTGGTCACCAGCTCGGGGATGAGGGACAGGTGGGAGATCTGCGTGGCCGCCCAACCGAATTGGAAGATGATGATGAAGGGGAGGTAGTAGATGAAGGCTGCCCACTGCGGCGTGTTCTCCTTGCAACCCAGGCAGGGGTTGAAGATGAAGGGGAAGGACACGAGGACGCAGGTGGTGCCTGGGAAGAGAGCGGAGCAGTGAGAGGCTGCAAGCCCTGTTTCCCTGGGACCCCAACGGCCCCAGCCAGCTCAGACACAGATGGACACACAGCCAGCCCTCTGCTAGGACAGATCCTACCCCACAGGGCTGGGGAGGGAGGTGGACCCCTTCCCCTAGCCAGATGAGACACATGGAGCCCCAGACCCGCCCTCACCCTGTCCTGCATACAGGGTGATGTTCTTCCCTCTCACACCCAGCGACAAGACAAGACAGACACTTGTCAGCAGACTTTTCCCCAGCCAAGTTCCCCCCACAAGGTGCAGCACCATCTCACACCTGCTCCGTCCCCCTCAAAACGCCAGAGGACAGACCCTTACGCCGTCTTGACATGCAGCCACCAAGGGCTTCTCCCCCCATCTCCAGCCTGCAGATAACCAGCCCCGAGGACGTGCACCGCCCTGCCACCTGCCTAGGGTGATAAGGCACCCCGAGGGCCAAGAGGGCTCTTGGCTGTCCCGCGAGCGCAGGGCCAGCCCATCTGTCCCCTTGTCCCTTCTCCCATGGGGCTGGCAGAGGGAGCCACGCTCCCTCCATGCTTGCAGAGGTCACCTGCAGAGCGATGGCCAGGGACACCTCCAGTGCAATGGGGGGGACAGGAGCAGATTTGCCCCCCGCACCGGACTCTGAGTCATGGGAAGGTCCCAGCTGAGTCAGGGACAACAGAGCCAGGCTCCTCCCTCTGCTGCAGCATGACGCGTGGGGACGCCTGCGTGGAGCAGGCAGGGACAGGCTGGCTTCTCCCTCCCCCTTCACAAGGTTACGGAGCAAATCTGCTGAGATGCTCCGCTGCTCCCAAGGCCCAGGCGCCGATGCGGAGACGGCCACGTGCCCTGTCCTGCATGTCCCCAGCTTCACCGGGCGCTGCCAAAGAGCCACGGGAACCTGTTCCTACAGCTGAGGGGAAACCGCAGCCGCTTTGCGAGGCCCCCAAGGTCCCCTCTCCAGGGGACTTTGCAAGATCCTCCTCCTCACGAGCGATTTCTCCTCCTCTCATGAACAGCAATTCCTCCTCCCCATCACTTCCACGTGGCACAGCCACCCCAGCTGCCAGAGGGCCGGGGCAAAGCGGT